AAAGTTTGTTTAAATAAAAAAAAACCACTCAAATAAAATAAAAAAATTTATTATAAATAAAAATATATAATTTATTGGGTCTGACAACAAAATTATTTTATTAATTTGTTAGATTTATGTTGTTTTATTTACAAAATAATAATAATAAAAATGTATTTAAAAATAATGCATAATGCACAATAGAAAATAGATTTGTTATATAGAAAAAAACATGTATTTGATACCTGTAGCATAAAAAAAGTTTGTTTAAATAAAAAATAATTAAAAGAAAATAAAAAATTATAAATAAAAATATATAATTTATTGGGTCTGACAACAAAATTATTTTATTAATTTGTTAGATTTATGTTGTTTTATTTACAAAATAATAATAATAAAAATGTATTTAAAAATAATGCATAATGCACAATAGAAAATAGATTTGTTATATAGAAAAAAAACATGTATTTGATACCTGTAGCATAAAAAAGTTTGTTTAAATAAAAAAAAATCACTAAAATAAAATAAAAACATTATTTATATATAAAAATATATATTTTATTGAGTCTGACAACTAATGTGGTATATTATTTTATTAATTTGTTAGATTTATGTTGTTTTAATAAAAATATATATATATATATTCAAAATAATGCATAATGCAAATAGAAAATATGGAGAATTGTAAAATAAAATCATTTATAAAATGTAATATTTTAAAATATTTTATATACAATTTTTTTTCTCCAATTCAGAGCCATGTCGATACTTTAAAAGCAGTATTATCTGTCAAAACAAATACTGTCTCTGTATATATGATGCATTAACAATGCAAACAGCATGAGAGAGCTTCCCGACTGTAGTATCGTCTCTCACCTTGTACGTAAAGGCTTTCCAGGGCAGGTGAGCGATGGATTTCAGCTGTTAAGACAAATGCATTGATTATTAAATCAAACATCATTTCATTATTCTGAATGCAAGAGATATTTGAGACCGAACAAACCTTGTAATTTACAAAGAGTTGAGGCAGCATAAAGAGGAATCCAAAGGCGTACACCCCTGACCGAGAACAACAACCATCAATTACATTTCCATCATGAATGTTTCTAAATGAATCCATCAGTCAGATAGAGCTACAAAATGAAACTTACCATTGACTAAACTGTTAATAATCCAGGAGTACCAGCTGTTCAAACACAACAAATATTCATCAGCTGTGCACTTTAGATAACAGTAAAAAAAGTGTTTTATACTCTGTTTTAGCCATGAATATATTCAGGAATCTTCACCTTTTGTACTTGACAAACACAAGAGAGTAAACCGCCCCGGCGACACACAGAGGATACAGCAGATAGGACAGATACTTCATCGCCTGCTCAGAGGAACAACATTCAAATCAGACTTCAGAGATCAAAACATAATCAGAAGACTGCGGTTTGGATGAAGCTTTAACTCACCAGCGTGTCATATTCCTCGGTTCGTTTCTCAGATTCATCAAACTTCCCAAACTGTTCCCCAAACAATTCAGAGTTAAAGAATAATCCCTTTTAAGTATTAGTAACAAAATCACGAAAGAAAAACCACAAAAGTTTACCAGGAACGTGGGAGTGAAGCCCCTCCATACGACGTGTATTTTAAAAGCCTTCTTCACTTTCCACACCTGAAAAACAAGAGCAAAAACGTCAAAATATACAAAGACCAAAGCAGTGAGTTTCAGAAAGAGCTTTATTGCACATACAAGCAATTTGGTTTAGTGTCACAAACTTCCAGTACACAGAGACAATAACAACACACTGATAATAAAAATATGATGAGAATAAAATACACATGCATAAATATAAATAAACCACGAATAAAGATTTATGTTCATTCTGTCCACTTGATCCAAATAAATCTGCAGCAGGAACAACGACGAACACAAAAGCACGAGTGAAATCTTGCGGTACCTCGATCAAAGAGCCGATCCCAGCAGGAAGCAGAACCAGCAGACTGGTCTGCTCATCCAGCAGATACAGGAAGATCACAATGGTGCTGAAACACCTCCACAGCACTGAGACACACACACACACACCTCACATCAACCCACATCCAATCATCTGTGATATATGCAAACACATGTTGCTGAATGATCTGGCTCATATTATTATAAGTGATGCAACCGTATCTAATTATTTTCCACATTTATAAATAAAAATGTACTGTAACTACTATCAAATAAATAATGAAGCTATATTTGAAACAGTATATACTTAAATATGAACATATAATCATAAAATAGATTTTTCTATTGATTTCTATGATTTTCTATCATTTATATTTATAAACCACAAGAAAAGAGTAGAATAACACTGAAAGTAGGGTCCACTCAGTATCATCATTATTTTTTATAAACTATAATCAGTGATATTTTAGTATTATTGACATGTTATTTTAAATATATTTTGAATTTGTTTGCATTTTTAATTTTAGTCATTTTGATGCGTTTGTCATTTTTAATATTTGTTTTACTATTATTTTTATTTTATATATATATATATATATATGGGTCAAAGACGTTAAGATGTCCGCATCAAAAGAAATGTACAAAAGTGATTTTTTTTTTCAGTTTTAGTTTGAATTATTTTAGCACTTCAAGTTATACAAAAAACTAGCTGAAATGAAATATATTTGTTTTTTAATATTTTAAGTTAACATTTTTATTTTATTTTATGGTTTTAGTTTTAGATTACAATAGCAAACCTAATGATATTATGAAATTCTATTGCATTCTGTTCAGTTTCACTCATTTGACCATATTTAACACAAAACAAGCTTTCACTTCCGCAGAAACACTTTGCATGTATTAGATGCATGCAAATCCGTGGTGTGAAGGGAAGGTTCCTGTTGAACAAAAGGTGTTTGCAGACCTGCTTTACTGGACATCCCAACCATGCTCTTCTTGTGTTTCCAGAAACTGATGTCATTTTTGAAAGCCAGAAAATCAAACAAAAGCTGCAAAAAAAAACACAGTAATGTTTGAATGAAGTGAAATATGAACTCCATCAGTGTCTGCAGCATGAACACCGTTCAGAAATCTGATGAATCTTACATGGAAGGCAGCCACAAAGAAGGTGAGAGCGAGGAAATACAGATTGGTGTCCACAAATATCCCCTTGATTTCATCAGCATCCTTTTCATTGAAGCCTAGAGTGCAACGAAAAATATCCTTTTGACTTTTATACTTTTATTTTCTATATTAATCTGACAGAGTGTTCAGCAATCCAAAACAGTTGAATGACATTTTAGTGGGTCTCTTCTGTAAATCAGGGGAAAATGTATATTTATTTTTTGCTCTGAAAAACAAAAACAAAATTGCAATTAAATTTAACAGAAAACTTTTTAATTTTTTTGGGGGAAAAACAACAACAATTTAAGAAACTGATGTCATTTTTGAAAGCCAGAAAATCAAACAAAAGCTGCAAAAAAAAACACAGTAATGTTTGAATGAAGTGAAATATGAACTCCATCAGTGTCTGCAGCATGAACACCGTTCAGAAATCTGATGAATCTTACATGGAAGGCAGCCACAAAGAAGGTGAGAGCGAGGAAATACAGATTGGTGTCCACAAATATCCCCTTGATTTCATCAGCATCCTTTTCATTGAAGCCTAGAGTGAAACGAAAAATATCCTTTTGACTTTTATACTTTTATTTTCTATATTAATCTGACAGAGTGTTCAGCAATCCAAAACAGTTAATGAAGTTAATTACTTTACATAATGGAAATATAAGTTCAAAACCCTTAAACACTCAAGGTTTATTGCTTTAATTATTAATTTCTTATTATTATTTAATAAAAAAAAGGGGAAAAAAAATCAAATATATGTACATAAAAAGCATGCACATCCACAAATGTCTAAAGATTCCAATTTAATACATATTAAATTAATATTATATTAATTTAAAATATATATATTATTAATATTATATTGACATATCATAATATATATTAACTAAATGTATCATCATCATCAACTTTATTATTATTATTATTATATAATCATATGCAATTATTTTATATAAATGAATTCTTTAACAGCAATCCAAAACTGTTAATTGAATGAACTACATTACTTGATGGACATATAATTTATCTAAATAATTAATCATTATTAATACATTTAATTAAACACATTTGATATTGCTGTTAATTATTAGCTTTTTTTTTAATGGTTGAATTCCTTTCATATTTAATTTTTACATTTTGAGTATATATTGTATAAAATAAGTGTAAAAAATTAAAAAAACATTTAAAGCCATTTAACCTTGACAAATTCACTTTAATTCCCCAGGAGTCTGCAGATTCTTACCAAACTGCTGAAGTGAATAAACGGCGTCCTGCATATGGATCCAGAAGCGCAGTTTCCCCAGAGCGATGGAGTCGTATGAGATGGTCAGAGGCAGCTCAGTGCTGCTGCTGTTGATTTCCTGCAGATCAGACACATTAACACTCGATGTGCATGTTCACTACAGCAGCTGCAAGAAAACCGCTCGAATGTAGAGAATCAGAGGAGCAGTACCATTAAATCCTTCACTCGGTTGCTCAGCTCATCTACAAACAGCAGCGGCAGGTAAATCATCTTCTTCCCGCTCTGATATCTGCAGGACAGGAATGGAAAGGAGAATTAGAGAGGCATGTAGGATGATGTAGAATTTATAGCACTGTTGGAATCATTTCACATGCGTTAGTCAACGTGGTAAGTCACTGTAAGACATAGTAATTATCTCATGAATTTATTGCTTTATCCCCTAAAGGTGACATATCGTGAAAATCTGACTTTTCCAGGTTTTAAGTGCTATAATCAGGTCCCTGGTGCATCTACCAACCAAGGAAACGTGAAAAAGATTAACCTAGTAACTTTGTTTTGGTAAGCCTTTTTCTGCAGGTGTCTGAAAAAACGAGCATCTGATTTCGCTCCCTTGGTGACGATGCAAAGGGATCTCATTATAATATTACCGCCCTTTAATCTGTAAGTTTCCACCCACGGAGCCGTCATTTGATTTCGCAAGCGACAACGATGTAGCAGCTCTAATGCCATGGTGAAAGTTTGAGCAAAGCATGCTAACTGTTCTGTGTTTGGCTGCACAGACGAGCACAGAACACTGTTTAGAGTCCCAGCCTCAGAGGAGACGAGAACAGTGGATTTATTGATTTATTTAATGTATATTGCTGCTGCCACACAGATCTAAAATAAACATGCAATTTATTTCCCAGCTGTTTACCTTCACAGACATAACCTACTGTTTTTTGTAACTCGTGTGTTTTTAACGTAAACTTGTGTGTGAATGAGAACTTAGTTTAGTACTCGCATGCTGTG